TGCCGACCCCTCCAACCTCCTTCGCCATCAGAGGAGCCACACGGGGGAGCGACCCTGCGTATGTGCCCAGTGCGGGAAGAGCTTTGCCGACCCCTCCAACCTCCTTCGCCATCAGAGGAGCCACACGGGGGAGCGACCCTACACATGTGCCCAGTGCGGGAAGAGCTTTGGGCAAAACTCAAGCCTGATGAAGCACTGCAGGGCCCACACAGGTGAGAAACCCTACAGGTGTGATGAGTGCGGGAAGAGCTTCGCTCAGACCTCCAACCTCCTGGAGCATCAGAGGATTCACACGGGCGTGAAACCCTACAAATGCCCCGACTGCGGGAGAGTATTCTGCCACAGCTCCTCGCTGACAGGCCATCGGAGGATCCATACTGGTGAGCGACCCTACAAATGTGTCAAATGTGGGAAGAGCTTCAGCCAGAGGTCCAACCACACCCAGCATCAGCGGACCCACACGGGGGAGCGACCCTTTACATGCGATGAATGTGGGAAGAGCTTCAGTGTTCGCTCCAGGCTTATTATGCACCAGAGGATCCACACAGGGGAGTGACCCTGTAAATGTCCCAACTATGGGAAGCGCTTTAGTGACTGGCCAAATTTCACAAGACATCTGAAGACACATACCCAGGATGGGCCTGAGACATAAATTTGAAAGAAAGCTTAATTTGGAGCTCAGACCTTGGTGGCAAGAGCAGGGGTCTTGGATTATCAGGACTCCTAGATTCTATTCCCAGTTCTAGGAAGGGAGTGGGGTCTGATGGGATAGAACAGCGGTAAGGATGGATGTCGGGGCTCCTGGGTTTTATTCCCTGCACCTGGAGAAAAGTGGGGTCTAGTGTGTTAAAACAGGGGGCTGGGAGTCAAGACACCTGGAGTCTATTCCCTGTTGTGGGAGTGGGATTTAGTGGGTTAGAGGAGGCGCTGGGAGTCAGGATGGCCGGGTTCCATTTCCAGCTCTAGGAGGATGCGGGGTCTGCTGGTTGGAGTGGGGAGGGCATTTCATTACTGTCCTAACCTTTTAGTTTTATAAACACCATTGCTGGGATACCTATGAGCCCAATGTCATGTGGCCATTGAAAAGGCGCAAACAATCCCAGGATGTATCAGGCAAGGTACTTCCAGTAAAAGTTGGGGAGGGGGTGAGGATAGTTCAGTGGTTTCAGCATTGGGCTGCTAAGCAGAGGGTTATGGGGCTTATCGTTGAGGGGGCTACTTAGGGATCTGGGGTAAAATCAGTACTTGGTCCTGCTAGTGAAGGCAGGGGACTGGACTCAATGACCTTTCAGGGTCCCTTCCAGTTCTATAAGATAGGTATATCTCCTTATATTTAGGTTCTTCTCATCCCAAACCATCTTTGGAGAGACAGGGAGCAATACAGCATTGCCATTCATTCCTCACAAAGAAAAGTTGGTCTGGAAGGGACCCCCCGAGCTCATCTAGTCCAGCCCCCTGCACTGAGGCAGGACCAATCCTGTCTAGACCATCCCTGACTGGTATTTGTGCAACCTGTTCATCCAAAATTCCAGGGACAGGGAGGCCACAGCCTCCCTTGGAAGCCTGATCCAGAGTTTAACTATCCTTAGATCTGGTCTACACTGGGGGGCGTCGATCTAAGATACACGACTTCAGCTATGAGAATAGCATAGCTGAAGTCGACGTATCTTAGATCAAATTAAAATTATTTACTTTGCGTCCTCGCAGCACTGGATCGACGGCCGCGGCTCCCCTGTTGACTTTGCTTCCGCCTCTCGCACTGCTGGAGTTCAGCAGTCGACGGGAGAGCGATCAGGGATCGATTTATCGTGTCTACACTGCACGCAATACATTGATCCCCGATAGATCGATCGCTACCCACCGATCCAGCGGGTAGTGTCGACGTACCCTTAGAGTTAGAAAGGTTTTCCCAATCTCTGACCTACATCTCCCTGCCTGAAAACTGAGCTGCTTACTTCTTGTCCTGCCGTAGGTGAACATGGAGAACAAACGATCACTGTCCTCTTTATAATCGCCCTGGCTCTATTTGAAATATGTTATTAGGTTCTCCCTTCCTGTCTTCTTTTGTAAGGACTAAATATGCTCCATTTTCCCCCCTCATAGATCAGGTTTTCTAAACCTTGGATCATTTTTGTTGCTCTCCTCTGGATTCTCTCCAGTTTGTCCACATCTCTCCTAAAGCGCGGCGCCCAGAACTGGACACGCTATCCAGCTGAGGCCTCACCAGGGCTGAGTAGAGCAGGACAGTTACCTCCCATGTCTTACGCGCAACACTCCTGTTAATACACCCCAGCACGATATTAGCCTGTATTGTATTGACTCGTATCCAATCTGTGATCCACTATAACCCCAGATCCTTTTCAGTTGTATTACTGCTAGCCAGGGCTCCCCCTTTTCTAGTTGTCCATTTGATTTATTTTTTCTTCCTAAATCCACGTCTACACTCAAAAATTAAGTCAACCGAGTTATGTTGCTCAGCCACCAAACACTCTCCTCTGAGCTGTGCCAGCCCTGTCTTTACTTCGCAGGTAAACAAGAGTGCACTGTAGTCTCCTTGAAGCATCCCCCGTGGTACATCCAGCCCCTGACACTGATTACTCACAGAAATCCCAGATCCTCTGCTCCCAAAGAAGCCGTGTACCCCAATTTACGAGTCTGACCTTACCTCACCGCTCGCATAGCACTTGTGAGCACTTATACTAAAAACAAAAGGTTTATTTAAGGGAAAGATAGACATTCCACTAGAAACAAGAGAGAGGTGGTCGCAATACAAAACAAAATCACAAAGCGTGAACTAGAGCTTGTTGGGAACGAAGAAGGCATATATAGGCAGAAGCCTGCT